TTCCTCCTTCTTCCTGCCCGGACAGATACAGATGGGAAGTCTCGCCCACACAGCAGTGTTACTTTTATCTCTGCCAGGAAACCAAAGATGGAACATTCAACATAATATCAGTTCTGTCACCACCAGGGGCAAATCTGTACATTTTACAGGAATAATTGCTGCAGATAATGCTACGCAGCCTGCCAGAAACTGCTGCTAATCCCTCTTTTGTTGGTAATAGCTCTAGGCAACGTCTGCTTTATAAAGTACCATAGCATAGTTAACTGTTTGGAGCCATGACCTGTATAGCTGCTTCCTGGACCATAAGCTACTTATCTGTCAGAGCAGGGGGATGATATTGTGATGAGAAATGCCCCTTGGTGTGCAGTATAATGCATATTAACTAGACGTCATAACATATCAGTCTTTGCTTTGAAGGTAAAGTGCCATCCTTTTCTTATTAATAATCATTAAGTTAACAATCACATATCATCATCATGTTTATTATCAGATGCAAAGAGCAGGTAAATCCTCATGTACCCTGGTAAATGTAAAAAAAATCTACTTCCTGTTCAACCTCATTATAATAGCATAGTCAGAATCTCTCTAGCTATCTACTGATTTACAATTTGGTTGGTAACATCTAGATTGTGCATCTGTCAAAAGGCCTTTGTGCAGGAAGTCAAAGCAGTGCAAAATACATTCCAAAAGCAAAGCCAAATGCCAGCTCCCATCAGAGACCTGCCACAGTTCTATTGGATACCTGGGGTGGTTAATTTGATCCCTCCTTTGCCTGGGATGTGTGGTGGGCCCATTATGCTGCCCTGAGGGACCTGTCAAGTCCATGATCCATTTTACATCCTGAATTGTGCTGTGTGCTGGCTGAAAGCCTCATGCTGTTTGCAATCTTTTGGGTTAAGGTTAGAGTCCAGGGCAGGACTTTATGCAAAATGGTAAATCTTCAGGGCTCATAACAAAAGTCCTTTTTTTGTGCCAGCCTAAAGTAGTATTCACTCCATATTACTAGCATCTTTTAAAATCTCATTTTACTTTTTATTTTACTCTTTATACTCTTAAAAAGTAAATTTTACTCTTAATTGCTGAATTTTGACCCTGTTTTGTGCTATCGACTGAAGACCTGTAATTCACTGTATCAGACTCATTCCACCATGGAGATTTGTACTGAGTTGATGGCTTTCCCTACCATTTATCATGGTTTCAAGACCAGCTAGAGATTGCAGTTAGATGGGAAAATAAATCTGTAAGAGGCAATTTTGTCCAATTCCCAGTCGTGAGCTTAGGGGAGGATGTCCATGCATTGGAATGATACTTTAGCCCAGCTACTATTAGCCCAGAAGTAGCTGAGGAGGGTTGTTTATCTGTTTCACGAAATTACCTGGAGGCAAAACTGGTCCTTTGGTCTGAAACCTTTCAGGTCATAGCAACCTCATTTGTTCACATTCATTGGACCTGTCTGAAGTAGACGACACAATGCTATCCCAGACATTGCACATTAGCGTGTAAGGCATTTGATAGGCAATTGATGGCTTGCTGCATTAATGACAACTGAATCCTCTTTCAAAAGTATGCCTACTATTCTGCAAGTACCCACCCCCACCCCCAGTGATCCAAAATTGGGACGGCTAATCACTAGACACAGGGTGATATTCATACCCCCGTGTCTGTCTCTTCCTTCTTCAATAAAGGCTGATTGCATGTACATTTTGTACAGATTACTTCAAGTGATGCCAGAACAACTGGTGTGAATGATTGATGTCTTTGTATGTAACTGTGCCTGAGGATAGTCTGAGATAACCTTTCCTCACACCTCCCAAGCACCCCTCCCACTGTAATGATTGGTGTTTCTGACCTAATATTCCTATTAACCTATTAACCTATCACCTTTTCATCCCTAGGAAATCTTCATAATGGTAAGATTTGTGATCTACCTGTATTCTAACTTCTCTTCCCTTTGTGTGGGAGAGAGCAGCACGAATGTTTTTACTGATATGGTTGTATCATGGTATGATCGTGTGTGCACCATGGGGATAATTACAAAGGATGAATGTTTTCCCTGCGGTGATTTACCTGTATCGCCACAACATTGTAATAAGTCTCCAGCAGGTCGGAAAAACAACCACGACAACTGCACTCTTTCACTTAGTGTTGAACATTTTTCAGTGTAGATGCACCTGCTCTCTTGAAGTTTGCTAAGATTGCTAAGACCCTATTCACATTCGAAAATTAGATTGGTTTGAGCTCAAATCGTTTCAGAATTCATTAAATTGATTCAGTTTTTGCAATGTAAAATAATTTAATGCCTAAAATCAAAGATGAGACAAGGACCTTGTGTGATGCTATGGATACATTGTCTGTCAAATATGAAAACATGCAGTAATCTTGTTAATGTTGTGTTTGTGTGGAATGGCGACTGGGGAATCACAGTGCCTTTTAGCAAATGTTACGCCCTGCAAAATACCGGGCCTCGTGCAACAGGATCTAAATCAACCACCGCAAACACGTCCATGATTCTGCAGTGTACACACTTTTTGCATTCCTTTCTTTGGCAAAATTTATGGTGCGATGAGTTGCAGTGGCTCCATATAAGAATTTAAGATGGTGGACTCTAGTCATGTGACTCTTCAAGCATAATATTTTAGCAGAGGAAATAGTAAAGTGATATGATGATGAAACTGGAATGAAAGAACATGCTTCCCCATCATGATGTTTTGACAACCTCTGCCTGCTTTAGCAATCATACATGCATGAGGTTTAAATTCCAAGGATTGGCTTTCTGATCCAGACATTTGATTGCTGACTAGGTGTCTACTGCTATTAAATTGTTGAGCTGTGAGGATCCTGTGAGCTTAGCTCCCTCCATGTAATCCAGGTGTTACATGTTGTAATGGCCTGTCTGCCCACAGGAAAGGTTTCCAGCTCTTCAGGCTGCACCATGCTTGAATCATATGCGTCACTTTCAATTTGTGTGAGACCTCACCAATCCTTTTGCCACTTTCTCCCACTGACAATGTCAATCCAATGAAAAGAATATAGCAGACCCAGACATTTGTCCCTAATGTGTATACTAGTATCTCTATATCAATAAAGATGCTGCGTTGTGCTTCTGTAGTTTGCCAACGGATCCTAGTACAGTGTGCTTTATGGCTCCTGCAGGTATCCTTTGTCAGTAGTGTATGTCTAGAGATGTAGTTTCAAGTTCAACAAGGGTCTGTCACTGTCTTGTTCGAAGTACATGTATGTCACTGGTGTCATGGTTTGCATGCCAAAGCCTTCCAACCTCTTACTGTAATTCTATGAGAGAAACAGTTAAAGCCTGTCATTTCTCTTTTACACATTATTTCACAAACACTGTGAAAAAAGATGGATAATTTCACTATTCCTTTCCCCATGTATTTTTGGTCATATGCTTCCCTCTTCAACTTTACTCTCTGTGAATATAGGAACCATTTTGCTGTAACATACTTTTTAATTATGCAGAACCCTGGTCATAAAATAGAGAAAGTAATGCAATCATGTTTTACCATCATACACATGTATGGTTGGCACCATTACCCATACATGGATAAGTTAACTGAATGTCCAGTGATCAATTTTTCAAAGGCAAACCTATTACTGTCTGCTGTGACCAACTCTGATGTTCAGTCAGTGATCTGTCAGCTGTGTGTTATGTGGAGTCTTGACCAGTTTGACAATAAGTCCTGCTGCTATGATAGCAGGCTGACATTGCATGTCGTTTTATAGAATTATTAATAGAGTTATGGTCCCTGTAGAGCTGATGTTGAACAACCAATTCATCTTCTGTACCAGTAATACTGGGGTTGGTTGCCAGCTTTTGTTGCATCCACAACCATGACACTGGCGGACTAACATTGTTGTGTAAGCCACGATTGTGAGACCAGTATAGATATGTTGCTGTCACACTGTCCCTCGACAGTGTAATACCCTTGTTACGTTGTATGTATATCATAAGCAAACTTCATATGTGCATTTCATGTCTAAAGTGAAACCTTACATCAATGTGTAAGCCTGATCTTGCATACAGGGCTGTTCAACCATACTAGTACATGCCCACAGGCATCAAATGTTACCAAGGAAACAAAGTAGCTAAAGCACAGACAGACAGATTAGATTGGCTGTGCTACGTTTTCATTATTTTTACTGCTCTGGGAGAACCTTTCAAACAAACTTGTTCATAGTCGCCAGATAAGGCCTCTACTGTATTGCCTGCCCATTCATGTCGTTAATATATTGATTGCTTTTATCTCTTATCTAGTTCAAACGTTGGAATGTTTGTTTCTATACTTGGCAACATAGCAACGTTGTGGACTTTGCCTCACAGCAACTCTACAAAGGCACATACAGCACGTAACTGGAGTGTCAACACTGATATTAGCATGCAATTAAAGGCACACTTAAGAAGCGATGTAAATTTTTGCGTTAGCACTGTACAGATGCAGCTGTGATGAGGTGTAGTCTCGGTACTTGCCCCATGTTTGTTATGTGGGCCTGTTCATGAGAAATTCCCTGATCTATCTAGCTGTTGGAAATAAAACCTTTAGCTTGGTTATTCTGCATTCAGAAATGTACAGGTCTGTGATAGTTGTTTGAGAGGATATTATTGTTACTGCTCTTTTGTTGTATATACATGTACATGACAGGATCTGTAGTTATACGTTGTTGACATGGAGGTCATAAGTACATGGACAGTTCAAGAAGCCATAACCTGATGCCAGCATAAGCATGAAACATGGAAGTGATCCTTTGTGAAGAATTGACATACCTGTTTTGTGATGAAGACTATATTGATGGTAGTTCGTAAATACTTTAGATGTCAAGCTTGACACAACTGTTGATTCAGTATTTATTTATAGGGCCAACGGTCAAAGGGATCAGTTTGAGTCTCTCAGTGCAAGTTTCTGCAGACAATGATAAAACACTGAACAGGACAAAGTACAAGTATGTTTGAGTAGATTTAACCTGCTGTGTTGACCCTGAGATTAACAGTGTTGACCTTGTGTTTCAGCCATGACCGTACCATGCAGGACATCGTGTACAAGCTGGTCCCAGGACTGCAGAAAGGTGAGAGAGGTCAGGTGGAAATCTAAGACAAACTAGCCAGTTTTTGACTGGGGGAGAATGGATGCAGTAAATATGGATAACGTTATAAAGAAGATTAATTAAGGTACAGTGTAAGTTGATACAGTATAGAAATTTGGCAGATTCAAACTTCACCTTGACTAGATTTCAGGCTCGTTGTGTGATATTTGCAATTGCACAAATACCTGTAAAGCCCCTAATCTATGACTTGGGAGATTAGAGGGTTATCTGTCTATTTCTGGTAGGATGACATTCAAGATTGTCCCTGTTAGTGAGTAAGTAGGTTAAATGTCACTTAATGAGCTGTCAGCGGCTTCAAACTGTAATTGCAGCTGCAGTCAGACAGCCACAGGCCATTTACAAATTGGATTTTCGTCAGATATGTGAATTTCTGCAAGTGCAGCATTTAACCCAAACAAATTTGATATAGTATTGATACACGTTTCTTATTTTTGCTAGATTTTTTTTCATAAAAACAAGGTAGTAAACATTGACATATGTAATATTCATGCATGTACATGTATGTGAAAACTTGAGATCTTTCCTGTTATATTTTTATCTTTCCCTGCTGTTTTCGAAAAATACTGTTTTAATTTATCAATGGGAAGACATAAACCAACAGACATAAACCCTTGAATTTAAAAAAAGTTTAAACCCTGGTTGTAACCTGAAACTTTAGTCTCACAAGGCAACCTGCATGTAAAAACTGATGCTTTACACAAAGTCTGGTTGCTCAAGGAGGTTGGGTAACCTTCACATGTATTTCCAGCACTGGTGGGGTGTTGTTGTCCCTGCTGTTTGCACAAGGTCTGCCCTGTCAGAACTGGAGGGAGTTTTAGTTACAAGTAGTGGGGTAATCTTATCTGAGTGTTAATTGTTGTGTCAATGAAGCATGCGTTCTGGTATTTTAACACTCCTGACTGCTGGGGGTAAGCTGTGAGGTTGGCTGGGGTCAGGGGCACCTATTGGGGGGCGTGTAGCGACAAGGTTTTAACACTGAACCAAGTGGCCTGGTGAAACAGATTAGTGCTAATTGCTACATGTTGAGCAGTGCTACAGGCAAAGTTTTGGTACTTCTAATATCCTTGTCAGTATGGAGTATTGTTAAATGAATGGGTTGTGATTACTATGCATGTTGTTAGTTTTTAACTAGGTGTTGATGGACTTACTGCTGTGTCAGCTTTATACAGTATACAAAAAGGAAGATAACAAAAAAGAAAGCTATTCCCTTAGAATATAATTTCACTGGTGTGAAATGCTTAAGAATATAGGTGATCTTCATATCATTTTACATACTGTGTTTACAAAAACTTTGAAATAGAGTGAGGTGTATCCACACCGGCAAGATGATGTATTCTTAATTAATGACACTGCAGTTGGTATGCAGTATTACAGGCCACAGTTGCACTTAAGATTCACCTGTGTTTGTTTACACACATTTTGTTAACCACCAGTAACAAACAAACATGTTGACCAAGATGACAATGAAAGTTGTTTGTCTTCACAGCGGAGCTCAAGAAGCAGCAGGACTTCTACAAGAAGCGTGGCTTGCCATTTCCTGGACAACCACTTGGTCAGTTTCTTTTTCTCTCATTTAACATTGGTCACTTTGTTAAGGTGTAAAAAGATACCACTAGAGTTGCAGTCTCTTGTAGTCATAGTTTTGTTCACATATATGTATTAGAGAGCAACATTTTGTTTTGAGCATGCAAGGAGCATTTTGTTTTGTCAGCCCAACTGTTTCATCTGAGAGTACAGGTAGTATCATGTGGCTGGTAGAGACTCGAAATGTCAAGAAGATATGTCACCCTTCCCCCTAAGCAGTGGTCCTTGATTTCTCCCTGGAACGAAGCAGGCCAAGAAAGGAGACCTTGTACCCTCTAAGCTGGCAGCATTATTAGAAGTCACATAAATCACTGCCTATGCAGGTAAAAGGATGATGAGGTTACGACGCCCAACTGCCTGCTGTGCTGTCTTACAGCTAACCCAGCCATAAAAGCCTTTCAGTGGTTACGTAAGCCTCAAGACTCTCTCTTGAACAATTCAACTGTTCAAGTATTAAATTTGAAATGCCCTTGAAAGCCAGCCATCGTCATGGGCTATAAATTCTGGCTGGGGAAAAATTTAGTTTATGGTATAACAGCCTGTTTGAACAGGAAATCTGCATTAAATCAGACTGCCAGAAAATAGAACATGCTCATTGAGAAAAGGGCATCTGGCTGATTGTGATAAAGTTTCTATGGATGTGTAGATGCATCTTCCTTTTAAATAAGGAGTATAGCTGTCACTGTGTATGATTTGTTATTTTACAACCTCATTGAAAAGACAGTAAACAATTACATAATTGACAGCTCTTTGTCTTATGCACAGTGCTAATGAAGAAAGGAACCTACCAGGGCTTGTAATGGCTTCATTACAAATGCTTGCATCTTTCTTTTGATACTAGAGCAGCCATAGATTTATCTAAGAGGATTTGTTTAGCTGTTTCATGGGACTGAAGTAAAGAATGTTATGGAAGGTCAAGTGCCATTATGAGGAAATGGATGGGCAAGGCTGCAAAGCTGTTGACTAATGGGCAATTTGAGTTGGGGATCATCGTTAGAGAGAGGTGAAGAAAGGAAAGGACAAATCATTATTGGTGGGGAAGAAAGAAGAGACATTATGATTTATGAGGGAGGGACCATTACTTGATAAGGGGAAATGAGGCATTTTAAAGACAAATTAAGGATAACACGTTCAGTAGATTATGTAACAAATACGGCAGATAGAGAAATCCATACTACATGTGTATTTTGGGAGGTTCCTCAGATGTCATGTACAAATGTGCCTGTTAACATATACCATCCATGTTAATTTTATGGTAGTAAATAAAGATGGCAACCATGCTACAAAATGTTATTCCAAACAGTTCTCGCATTGATATGAAAAAAAGCTGCAAAGTTCCCAGTTTCTACAGTTGAGTGTTAACTTGCTGTTTTATGTCCAGATGGTGAAGAGGACAGCACTTGCAAGTCCTCAGCTTCCTCCTCCAAGTCAAAAGAGGATGAGGACAGTGACTATCATCGCAGTGATGAACAGGTGGGTTGTTGCTCCTTACAAACTAATGATGAAAATATTCTTTTCTCACTAATGCCAGTTAACATGGACTTGCCCAAAATACATACCACAAAGTGAAGCAATCTCGCTAATCATGATATCAGACTATACTCTCGATGAAGCTCTTCCATGAAACAAGGACATACCTGAAACAATACCTCGATTGACATCTACAGAGATGGATGTGTGTAGCCTGTAATGTCAGGAGATGTCAGCCTAAAGGTGGCTGACCCTGCCTAACTCTCCTGCCCAGGGTGCAAACTCTAGCCTGCTCTCTTGCCCAGGGTTAATCAGGACAGCATTGGGCATGCCGGAGGTCTAACCTGTCTGGGTATTGGGGTCATGATGGGAAGGAATCAGCGGCTTTAGTCTGGATTAGAGAGTAGGCTTTGTGGATGACAAGCAATCCTGGCTGGTGCATCAGGTTTCAAAATGTGTTCCTAGCAATTCAAGATTTACACAGTATTGTCAAACTCAATATATATTCTACAATTTACTGAATGTATTCTACTGTTCTTTGCAGGTGAATATCTGCCTGGAATGTAGCAGTAACAGAATGAGGGAGCTGAGGAAAAAATTTATCCGGTGCTCATCGCAGGCGACCATCAACCACCTGAGAAAATTCATTGCCAAAAAACTGGAGCTCAAAGAGCACTCCCAGGTAGTTCTTACCACACAGTAATTAGAGGATGCATGTGCCTTTTGATTGTGTTTCTAAAGTGGTTCAGGTAACGACCACCATCAGGCCCTTTGCACTAACAAGTGCCATGTGTATTTTACACTCTTTTACTTGTGGTTTGAGGGAAATACTCTAGAGATGTTGAAATGCTGACTGATCTGCTAGCTAAAAAGTATTCTAGAATTGGCAGATCAGGAATGTTCTGTTGCTGTGTACTTTGTAGGAAAGCAGTCTATCTTCATAAGATCTTCACTGTATTAGCTTCAGAACTATTCGCAATCCGGCATTTGCTGCTTTTTCAGCTCCACTTTTTATTCATTTTCATGGTGATTTTAGTTGTACTACTTCAAAAATAATGACTTGGAAAGTGAAGTCACTTTTTCCTGTTATGCCCAGGGCACATTGTAACAGTACACACTCAGGTAATTCACATAATGAGGAACATTTATAAGCCTTGGGTCTTATATGCAAATTGATTGCCAGTTTAGTTGCATGTAAGTTACCTTGGGCCCTGCAGGACGACTTGGCAACATCATTCATCATAGATGATAATATCACATGACTAACATGTGACCAGAGCATGCCAATCATAATGTTGAAAGCCTGTCAGTCGTGTGACTGAGGTTATCTTTGCCTCAAGCAGGTGGAGATTTTGTGCAACGAGGAGATTCTGGGAAAGGACCATACGCTCAAGTTCGTAGCCGTCACACGGTGGAGGCGCAAGGTACGTCCTGCATTCTGTATCAACCAGCACTACACTGTAAATGGATGACAACTTGTCATTGATTTTATCTAATCTCCATCCTTTCACACTTGGACAACCACACCTGACAAGGATTTCACTCCAGTGACTAGCTGCTGCAGAAGCAAAAACAAATTAAACAAGAAGTTACAGATTTCAGACTTTTGGGATTTTATTGGAACAACTGAGGAGATTGCATGACATAGTTTAATCCGTACTAGGACAGAAACTCTGCAGGGTTGGAGGGTAGCTCTTGCAAGTCTCTGCTTCCTGAATTCCCCCATGTTCAACTCTAATTCCTGGTGGCTCTCGGCCAGATTTCAGACCTTCAAGTTCATGCATTTCCACCCACAGACAACCCTCCCAAAACAGTACTTCCATACCTTGAAGTAGTAAGGAGACAAGATAGTAATTTAATAAACTCCCCACCTGTATTGTTTTAATTGCTACCTAGAGAACACAATACAATGTGGTCCAATATAGGTTACCTAAGTATTTGTCTTTGGTCCTCCCTTCTTCTTAGTACTTCTAGTTGTTGGTGGTTAAGATTTCATGGACCTAGTAGTAATTATAAGCATGAGACTTGTAGTAATAGTCAGTTAAAAGCAGTGTAAATGTCAGAGTACACTCTACTGAAATGTCAGACACAGTAGGCCTGTATCCAACATGTGATGCAACTGCAATTTATGTCCATATGGAGCAATAAATGGTGCGGGCAGTGTTTTAAACCCCAGCAACTGTCTGCCCTGATTCTCAGCCAGAAATACAATCATTAATATCAATCTTGGTGGGCAGAAAAGCCATAATGGAACCTCCACCCTTCCAGCTTCCCTGGAAAAATAATCCTCAGATTTATCAAGTACTGATGCTGGGGATCTGAGGCATGACAATCTCATTGTGCATGGAGGATTTGTCATGGGCTGGGGAGAGTGTCTGAATGTGAAAGTACATGTAATTGTTTAAGGAAATTTGTGCACTTGATGGTGATGGATTGAACGATTAGTGTTATAAATATTTTGTAGCAATTCAGACAAATGGCAGGTGTGTTGTATCCATAAATAATTGGGATCCAATTGTAGATGACACAGAACTGTTGAAGGAAATTTTGAACCTGTGATATGACTGACAACTTTTGAACTAGTATGTATTAGAGCACTAAGATAAGAAAGGGACATGGATGATCCACAAGGGTTGGTTTTAAAAACAAGGCTTAGCATTAAAACAGCATGCAGCCATTTAGAGTAGGAGTTGGCCAAAGGAATTCCCCGAGCTCAAGAGATTGGATTTTCCCTAGAGATGACGTACCATTGTTGAAACCAGCAGCAAGGCTGTGATGTGGTTGGTTGTTTGGCAATGTGAGGCTGGGGTTTGTTGTGGGTTGGAGTTGCAAGTACATGTAAGTGATCACAGTTTGTTTGGAAACAACATAGAACTGTTGACGCTTGCACTAATCCTGTAATGTAGGCGGCTGGGCCTGGGAGTTAGCTTGCTCGGGATGCCACTAAGACTGCACTTCTGTAGTCTATTACTCTGTGGTGTAAACATGAATCAAGTCAGAAGAAGAGGTGTTGTGAGATGTAAGAAGGTATCACATTAGACTAGTACTGTTGCCAGGCTGCTGAAAATTGAAGGGTTACTTCGACCTTGCAGTGCTGGCATGCTATCTGTCAAGTTGTTCTGGAGTGAAGGAGAGCCATTCAGATTTCAACAGGCACCCTGCTATCTGGAGTGGGAATGTCATGCCTGTCAGATAGATTTGTAAGGCTCTGCAAACCAGTTTCTGAGGTAACATCAGCACACTTAGTTTGGGCAGTTGCCCCATGAAAAATTTGAAACTGAAACTTTGCAGGTTGAGGAAAGGAAAGGATGCCTTGAAGTTCTTAATCTTATATTATCCTGCTCCTAATTATAAAGCATGGCAATGATTTTGACAATGCCTTTGTGCCTTTTAATGCTTGCTAGTGCTCATAAGAAACACATACTTGTCTCATTGTCCTAGTCACACCTGGTTGTGAAGGCCAGGTGTTGCTGGGACAGGTGTTTGCAGGTAAACATGCCTGTTCCATCTGGCAGAAAAGGGCAGTGAGGTGACAATTACATCAATTAATCAGCAATTGATAGTTGGTGGTTCACAACCTTTGATATGGCTGTAGAGAAATTCGTAAATATGAGGGGAAAAAAAAAGAACAAAAATGATTGCATTTTTGCAAAAAAGAGTGGAATTTGTGGAAAATGGAGGTGCTCCCAAAGTAACATAATGTGGCATGGAGTAGTAGAGTTCATCAAGCCCTGTGGAAGGTACTACTAGCCAAATGATTACTGAAAGGTCAGCAGATATAATCCCTTTGGGTGTGTAGCTATGAACTCAGTATATAAACAGCAACAAAATTGTAGTTGCTGTCTTAAAAAGAATGTTAGAGGTTAGACTGTTTTCAATGAGAGGTTGTCCAGTCCCCTTGGATAACTAATTCATTAGGTCTTGGGAGTAATCCAAATTTGTCCCAAACGTCTGACTGAAATCAGGGTTTTAAGTAGCTTTGACAGCATGTCACAAAATCTGCTCAGTTTGTGCATTACTTCTCTAGTGTACATCACACAAGTAAAACAGGATGTTATGCTATATTGGTGGGAATTGTGCTCAACATAATAATGAGATGGGTGCATGTGGAAACTACAAGCAGTGCTGGGCAGGATACATGTGCATTGCTCACTTTACTCACTATCCAGATTAGCGTCTATTGTTCCCATCTTTCTAAGGAAAGACATGCTAGAAAACTATTTCAGACCCTAGCTAGGCCCTCTAAATCCAGAAAAACGAGAAAAATGCTCTTCTCCGTGGATTGTTGCATGACAGATACCACACCAGTCTGGAGTTCCCAAGTGGAGGGATTTTCATACCCACCATGCAGTGTTACCACAGGCCTGGCATCATGCCAGTGACACATACAAATGTAGCTTCTGGGGATGGTTTATAATTTGCTTCATTTCCCTAAATGCTTTCCCCTGCTATTACCTCTGCCAGTGATTTGGCATGGATGTTATATGTTTTGCCAGCATTCATTGGTTTGTGCATGTATCTTCGGATATTTGTAGACAGGGTACCATAACTGAGAAATTTATGGATGTGGGTGATTTAAGGTTGTTCGTTACTCTCGTAGGAATATGTGATTTGATTTTAGAATAGATGCAGATCTGCATTTGGTAATGTTTCTAAAGGTTTTTAACGTTTGCATTTGCAAACACTATTCAGAATTTGTACAATCCATAATGTTTTTCTACAGTATTCAATTTTGGTGTTCATCCTTTTTTATATTCATACAAGTACACATGTACATCACATGTTCTGAGGAATTTTCATATCTCTGTTTGTGCTGCAATACAGCTTTAACCTTGGCCTCAGTGATGCACCTTTCCAGAACGATTTATGAACCATATGGATGGCTCCCTCTAATCGCAGTGGGTGGTGCTTATGCAGCTTACTTGACATATCACCCCAGGCTACCCAGATTACAGGACTAATCTATATGGATTGTCTGTGCCGACACAGCCATGTTAACAGCTATGGTACTGACTGGGATAGAAATGGATGTTTCTCAAATAAGCTAGCCATAATCAAAACCTGGCCTAGGCATTTGATCCATTTCAGTATGGAACGTGTTTCTACAAGGCTTTGGTTGTGTGTATCTTGGATATGTCATTTTACACATTGTAACTCTACTATCCATCTACATCATTTTTTGCTAAGTACATGTGTACATGAGTGTTCTAACTTTCCCTTGATAATCAGAATTAGAACATTGCAAGGGCTACGCAGAAATATTGAAGATGAGATGAGGGAACAAAAATAAATTATGACTTCTCTGATTACAGGTCCATCTCATTTAAAGAGAAATGGTCACAGATTAACAACATTTATTGGTTGAACTGGAAAAAACACAATCATGAATTTATAACAGTTTGCATCTGCAGCAATAATGATGGATGGTACTAAGTTAAAAATCATTGAGATAACATTACGTATGTTGACCTGATATATACATGTTCATGTATGGTTTGTGTTGATTTACTAGCTATACTGCTGCCATTACAGACACATAAAGCTGTTATGATTCAGCAGCTCCACAAATGTGCCAGAAAATTGGAAGCCCAGTCATAAAATGTTGGTAGTTCAGAATGGTGATGGGACCTGAGAGGTTTCCTTGCTAAAGGGGTCAGCTTGTGTTCATGATACCACACATTTGGGCAGTCAGTTGATTCCATTCTCGCTTCTCATCAGATAAACATTACTGTTGTGACTCTCCTAACCTTTTGTCTTTTCTTCCCTGCAGTCATCTCCGATGGTCCTGCACTACAGACCTGCGACTGTGGATATCTTTTGACACAGCAGCGTCCCATCAACAGATGTCTATTTATTCAGCCCTTAGAATCTATGTATGAACAGAGAGAAACTACGTTAACTATTCTGCAGCAGGAACGGATGGAATCAGCCCGTTTCCATGAGAATGGGAGAATTGTACAGAAGCTGTGTCCATGTCTGTCAAGGTGATGTCTGTGTCTGCCAACACCTTTTATGTCAATAGAGTAAGGCGACAGCCAAACAATGATTATGTGACTGTGAAGTACCAAAAATGTATTCTTTTTGTAAAAAAAATATGTATAGGTAAAAACTTAAAAAAATTGTGATCTGCAAAATATTAGAGAACAGCATATTTCATTTCCCACAATTCCAAGCCTGTCATACTGACGATCAGTATTTAATCTACAGATGTAATTGATTTATACATGAGGACAGAAAACAGGATTTGCACCACTCAGAACAGAATGTCTGGAATATTCTGTAAGGACTGGAAAGATGGAAAAATGGGCTGAAAATATTGACAAGCCCTTTAAGCCCTCATGTCTGCCAGCAGTCTGGCAGTTTTCATATGGTGCGTACGTGAAGAGGAATTAAATCATGTCTGATAAGTATACTGTACTTACATCTGTATGTGGAAGAAAACAGCAAAACCTAGCAGGCTACCTACCTTATTGCTTAGATCAGAGAACCTGCTATCCTGAGAAGTAGTTTTCCACCCAAGTGGAGAATCTGACCAGAAAGGACTTCCAACCATGCTGTTGTCCAACATGATCCAACCAACTGCCAACCACTGCAGCAATTACAAGATGACTGTCTGCTGTCAATTGACCATTTTTTCTGGAACAAAAGAGGATAACTGACTGAAAACACTTCTGTTTTGTGGTAAATTGAAAGGGAATTATTAATCTGTAAATCCATTTGCCTACTTTCCTTTCATGCATCTGTCAATATGAAGGTAGGTAGGGCAGACATGCTCAGTTGGAGAAGAAATCTGGCACCAGCAAAACAGTCTGTCACAAAACATTATATTATGTGAGTCTGCTTTTTTTTTACTAAGGGAAAAATAGATGTATATGCTCCTTTCACCAATGTTAACCCATTGTCTGACATATTAAAAGTTGAGAACAATGCAGAAAATGCCAAGGCTTTTGGTTGGTGATAGAATATTAGTCTGCCCACCCTCATCTTTTGACAGGTGCATTATTAGTTCACAGTTTGTGTTACATGTCATTTCTGTGCTTTGCTTGGACTCTGCAGCTCTCACGATCAGTGTTAGGCTTGTGAATGGAATTGTGCCTGGATCTTGGCACATTCTAATTCCATTTTCCAAGTCATAACTATTGAAGGAGAGGTACAGGTGTGAACCCTCTGCTGTCAGACTTGTTTTTATGCACTGTGATTGCAATAGATCGGTTTCAACAGACCACAAAAAGTAGGTGAAAATGTCTTGCTGTGTTGGCCCCATTGTGTACCAGACACCAGATGGTAGCAGTTTCTCCACCCCCTCCCTCTGTCCCAAGACTGTTGCAATATTTATATCAGACTTGATATGTGGCAGGTGACACTATTACTTGCACCTTGTGGCAAATGCTTAGGGGAGCTGACTGTCATGCAGAGCTGTGTGCTAGTGTGTTTAACAGGTCTCTTTAGGGCCATGCCTAGTCTGTCATAGACTGGGATGCATCTTACATATACAGTACTACTGTATGGTTTACTACCTTGATCACTTCACTGCCCAAAAGTCTGGTACCAGTTAATGGCAGATCAAATGGGGTTGGTTCAGAGTGGCAAAATCCTCTTGCAGCATGGCAATGGGGTTTAAACATGCACTCAGAAGTTCAGTCCCAGGTACACTGCTTCAAAAAGATATTCTATACACAAACTAATCAATCACGAAAGGCCAAAGGTTTCAATAGTCTGTCACTAACACTGGGTGCCAGGATATTAGGCAGGGAAGTGGTCAGAGGAGCAAATGGAAGCTGGAAGAGGATGCGTACCAGGCTAAGTTTGTTACTTGCTTCTCAGAACATTTCAGGATAAAGCAGATGAAGTGTAGAGACTCTGTATCGTTAGGCAAACAATATTTTTATCAATGGACTAAATCAATAATTGATACCCAAATTACCAGATTGCCGGATTAGGGTTAACCCTTCACTCTGTATCTCACTAGTATAATATATGAGAGTCAAATTTGTGCATAAGTTCACTTGTTAAGCACAGAGTGTTCTTGATGTGGCAGTAGATGAGCACAAGAGGACTCAGTTGTGCTTCTCACTACAAGGGGAAGTAGAGAGGCTGGAACAGTTCTTTGCAGCTGTTGTAATTTTCAAGCAATACAGATTTTGTGCAAAGATGAGCCCCAACAAACCAGAGAGAAGCAACAATGAGAAGCGAGTAACTGACTTAGTATGGCCTTACTGCAGTCCTACATGTACATTGTCATGTAGTGTATGCAGACTGTGAGTGGACCAAGTTACAATGTACATGCTAGAATCTTTATGGTGGCAAACCTTTGTACAAATGTACTTACAAAATATACCACTGGCAGCAAATGGTGTAAGGCCAAGACATGGGTTACATTTTACAAATCAGGATAGATGCGCTCTCCATGCAGGTACCATTTTGTATTGTGGCGATCATATCTGTGCTTTGACAAGAATCAAAGCTGGTACAAACTTGAAGAGAATGAGTGCTAAGATATAGGTTTAATAATAACTTTGTTGAACTGTGACATTTAGCATAATAGGTTTAGTAATGTAGTAAATGTGGGATCACTTCTGTCTGTATTAGATTCAAACAAAAGAACAATGCTTTGTATGATTCATAGGGTGACAAATCAGTTTACAATCAGTTGTTCATTTTCTTCAAATCCCTGAACATGGCTATGCACTTACTTTGACGTAGGTCAAACTTGGCACATTTTGATTTTATATTTATACATTTCATACATGTTACTCATTGTCCAGTGGTGCTTCTCATGGTTGCCATGGCAACTTTATTTATTCCATGATTGATCGGGACGTGAGATGAAGTATGTATAGAGTAGATGATAAGGTATCCCAGATGAATTTATGACAGGTTTTTGAAACCAAAATCTTTGTATATGTAATTAAGACACTGGATGTGTAATAACCCAGGAGGGATGACCCTGGGGATTTTGTATGCATGGCTGTGGCATTGCCTGAGAGACCTTGTTACCTTTTCCATTATCTCCATCCACATTCCAATTGAAGGCTGAACATTAGGGACTGCCTAATTGCATGGTGAGGTTTGTAGCCAATGTGTACTTCTGTACTGGATGTTCTCTTGTTTTACAGTGTTGCACTCACACTTGTCATTCAGTTAAAGCAGGTACATGTGTACATGCATATTTGAGAGAATCTTCAGAGGCTATTTCTGTATTGTCTGAAATTACCGACAACAGTGTACCAATGATAGAAGTACTCAGAAAGTACATATTGTACATGGTACATGTGTATGTTACATGTACAAGTAGGAATTCCTACATTATGGATTAAATAAATGATGTTGAGATGTCTGGATCATCGAATCATGGTGTAGTACATATTTTTGTACCCCCTCCAAATTTCATTTCTTGGGATACTAGAATGACAGAGTTGAATATCAGCAGATGAAAATACCGTCAGTTTATTGATGTTTTGTACAAATTCTACTCAGGCCACCCAAACAGGTTGATGTAAACGTGAAGAAAGTGAAAAGTTCATTTCTTGTAAAAGATCAAAACTACTGTTATAAGTGGTACTTAATACTGTACATGTACTCCAAGACCTTTATGATCAATCTAGAGGTATAACTATAACAGTTACTCCTCTGTTTATCAAGTTGGTAAAAGTATTACTTTTTACATTACTTAGTAATGTTCCTCTGGGGATGTACATGACAACACCTGCCATAGAACTTATTCTTTCAATGTTGCATCTTATTTCTCCATCGGGAAAGTTAAGATCCCAAATGTAGCTTGTTGACCCAACAGGTCAAGGTCACACATATGTCAAGGTCACAAATATACTACAAGGTTATCATGATGGGTCAAAGGTCATCCCTTACATATAGGTTACTGTGCCACATGCTGCTCATTGTTGCTTTGTTAGTTTAGCTGTAGATCTGCATTGAAGGTTATTCTAACGTTATAAACTCCCTACAGATGTGTATACAAACCTCCGATAATGGAAGGAAAAATGGGTTTCGTAGGCCTCAGAATCAAATGTCAAATAATGTTACTAGTGTCTGTCTGCTGCCCAGCTGTAAAATTATTGTCCAGAATCGATGAATTATGTAGGGCATAGAGAGGAAAGCAGTCAGATTTAGAAGTGAAAAAATGTCATGACATTGAAAGATGATTTATATGGTCTGTATAAGGACTAGTAAGATGCGGTATGGTGGTATGTGTGAAATATTCTTTTATCTTAGCAATATATTCTTTCATCTTAGCAACATAGCAACCAAATCAATTATGGTCACATCAGTATACAGTGTTGCTTGTAGTTCTACTCTGCACTGATCAGTGTGAGTCCAATGGAGAAGGGGGATATGGTCATGAAAATTTTATAAACGTCAAATACCCCCATGTTTTGTAGGGATCAATGTTGTCAAACAATATAAGGGGCAGTTGTGGGTTGTGAAACCCTCACACATGTACACCCCTTGGTTTACATTGATGGGTGCTTCGATACTCTTGTCAGCCTCATGCAGTTTGTATTTTCTATATTGCACGCTTTGCTGCACCTTGTACAGCACTGATGTAGAATTGCTCCTGTCTATCCTGTCTCCAGGCCAGCAGACTGTGTACATGTATTCCAGTAATGGACATATTGCCAGGCGCGCAGGGAGAATTGAATACCATGCTGTTGCAGCAGTCATGAAAGTAGTAGTGGTCATTTTGCACCATATGATATTTGTGTCCATTTGTAATAATAAAGATGTATCATTTCTTATTGAAACTGTCTTCTGTTGTTTCTTTGGTCAATATGCACCCCTTTTATATTTAAAATGCAAAACAGAAACTTACCATGTAACAGCCAACCTTGCGGGAGTTACTGTACAAATGTTGATGGGCAGCTTGAATCAGTCTGGGAGGTAATGGGAAATCATCTAGAATGCTATGTTGAGCTGTACGGATACTTAAGTACTGTATCTCTAAACCATGAGCAGCCAATCATATAAACCTTGTTAGACAAACCATAATGAAGCAAATAAAAGGCTATTTGTAGAATTACACGTAGTCCACAAAACTCAGTCACTCCAACAAGGGAATCACAATGGAACATTCAGTATCATAGATGTGACATGGTATTCTTGCAGGTACTGGCAAGGCAATGTGTTAAGAGCGCCTCCTAGTGAGAAAAGTTTATATTACAGGCACCCAAGTCATACACAGGTATTGAAGGTAATGAAAACAGCCCTGTGAATTAATTGACCATAAAATGGGCATTCTTTTACAGGCCACAGCAGATAATGATGTCTGGCTAGTATCAAGGCTTTAAAAGATAAGTAATGTGGTTGTACCATACAGTTCTTGAAAACTTTTATTTCAAACACCAAGAATCACCTTTCAAATTGAGACATCATAATGCTCACAATTATCATTTATAACGTTATAAGAAACATTTCACATTTTCCGATATAAATGGAATGAAACCAAAGAACTAGAAACAGTAACTGATGCTGTGAACACACAACATGGTATCACCAGAAAAGGTACTGAGTATACTTTATCAGACACACACACATATTGCAGACTGTTACAGTATGTTAAACATTAAAATTAAGGTTACAATATTTGAAAAGTACTTACTTTGCCTGAATGGGTCTTAAAAGGACATCAGGGAATGTGTGGGTAAGGCTCATTTGTATCTGTCTAGTTACACATAAATTACATGCAACAGCACCACAATGTTACAACAGTTACCATGATTGTTCTGTTATTGTCCTTTTTAGTTAAATACAGTATGGCTGCCTCTGCCTAACTCCATAACCAATACAAGTTTGGTTCCAAATGGCTACCTTAGCATGCTTTTTAAGATAGTAGCTCAATCCGCACCATTGACATCAGTACATGCTAACAATGTAATTTCTTCTTTATTCCTGGCTAATAAGCATATCATGACAATATTTAAGTTGATAAACAACAACATCTCTATCAACAAGATATCATGACCTTATAAACGTTCCTCATCAGACAGACATAATGATATATACAACCAGCTATTGACCAATATGTATCCTGTTAGGTTTCTAATCATATCTGGTTGTCCATTATCCTAGGAATGGATCAGTCTTGACTCCTGAGTCCCCTGATCATCAGTCCAGTCCTACATCATGGAAGGACTTGTTGTCCTTGTAGAGCTGCACTGCCTGGACGTGCAGCTGGGTGGCGTGCATGCACACCTGCACAGCCATCTGCCCATACATCCTCTCCATCCACCTGAGGAACAAATTGCAGATTGTCAAGTTGTTATACATGTATAATTCATTCTAACGTGCTATATCGCAGTTGTATTCCATGGAAGGAAAGAGATTTTGACACGTTGAAGTCCCCAGAAAACATTCTATCAGGTCGCTATTTGGATTTCCTCCTATTAGTCCACACAAACCTGATTTGTAGTGTATTAAATAATGACATGTAGATCCTTGGAGATGACAAGTCTGATGTGAAAGTGTCACCACTGCTACCCTATATGTGTGGCCTATTAAAGTTGGAGCAAGCTACATGTATGAACTAAATCCTAACCAACCAACCAACAACCAGCATTGTGACTTTGTGACACTACCTCACCACCACACAATGTGATGTTCTTTCTTGTCACTCCTCACCTGTTAAGGTTAGGAAATCGCTGATCACTCAGGTGGAATCCGCTCAGTTCTTGGAAGGCTGGAAAACGTTCGAACCATGGCCAGACCAGGAAGTCCAGTATTCTGTGAACAGGTAAAAAAACAGGTTGTAGATGTGGCACTTCCTTAAACATGGTCATGCCATTTAATACAGTGGACCTGTTTTTAAAATTCAGCACCAGTGTTACCCTGTTTATACTATCACCAGTGTTGTTACCCTGTTTATACTGTTCGACTGCGATGGACGAACATCACTATCACCCATACAATGTATGTTTCAACATAACTCATAAGGTTAGGGTTGGTGAAACGCAATTGAGTTTTAAGAACGTAAGGGTGTCAATTCATAAAGGTGAAACTATATATCACCCCTGGGTTGCTACCTGGGTTCTGGTATAGCCTATGTGTTGTTAATACCTGCCCTTTCATATTGCCCCTGAGTTGCTACCCTGGTCATACCATCACCCCTGGATTATTTGCCCAGGTTCTGCTATACATGTAGGCTAGAATGACCTATGTCTTGTTATATGGGCTTTCTTATATCAACCCTGGGCTTATGTTACCTGGGTTTGTTGCCCCCAAAGAAAGGTGTGCCCAGTTGGGTGATTTCAGCCTCCAGTGGCTCCAACCCTGTCAGTAGGGCTTCCTCTGCCTCCTTGTCTGTTGCCGTGGACTTACAGTACGCTGGATATGCACCGAGTGGAACCTACAGCAGCATAGGCAACTTCAAACTATGTCCTTCAACACAGTCTTCAACACAAATTTTCTATATCATGATTCTTTAGTCTCAAAACATAATTAATGTAACATTAACCCTGTTAAGCTGTTTAGAAAAAACAGAAAAGGTTTTGGCACACTCCATGATCGTGGCCTTAGCTCACCACTGGGTCAAAAGCGCTGACGAGCAGCTTGATCCTGGCCTTGTCATATGGGACCTTCGGGAACAGGACATTCTGGCTGAACGTCTCATCCAGATATTCACAGATGACGATCGACTCCCACAGCAGGTGGTCATCCTGCTCCAGGCCTGGAGTCTGGGGGAAGGGGGAAATGTTACAAGACCAAATTGAAAGTAGGATACAGTATTTTCAATCCTATAGTACACTAAGAGTAGAAGAGCCCCCTAGGGGGACAGAAGTGTACTGCATGACTACCCACTTACCCTGCCAGCAGGGAATTTTTCCAAGTACCACTTGGGCTTGTCACGGAGCCTGATATTCACTTGCTCATACCTGCACAAAGGAAAAAGAGGGAATGATGAAGGATGCCCATTGTTGTTTTTGTACTAAATGTTTTTTGGAAGGAATTTTCAAAGTAACAAAGTTGTAACCATCTATGTGTAACTACTATACTGTCCTTATATTCAATGCTGTTATTATATTAAAGTTTTATGATATAATTACGATATGAAATATGATAAACCACTTACTCCACACCCTTGGCAGCAAGTACCAGCCGCACCCTCTCCGTAAAGGGGCAGAAGCGGTTGCCATAGAGACGAAGCTTCCCCGGCTCCAGGGGTGGGAACTCTGAATCTGGAGTGCAACCAAAAAGGAAGATGTCACAGTATTTGTCAGTAGCTGGGCTGGGTACGTGGTCAGGTTCAGAGAAATATACACCACTATTATATGTACATTAGATAGAACGTAGATATGAATTATTGTTGGCATCTCCGCAGTGTTGCCACAAGTCAAAGGCAAAGGCATTTGCCCAGGCAGCTCATGCCTTATGACATCAGCATGTGTTCGTGTGACGTATTGAACCCCAAAATCAACACGAACAGAGATACACAATTTCTGATGATTAGAAGCCAGATCAATAGTTACTGAGTTTGGTTATAATTCCAGCTCAACCATACAAACACTTCGTTTCAGCATCCACAATAACCATTTATACTAACGATCTATTGCAAATCCACCTTGTCTGCCACCACGCCTCATCAGACGCATGATTTACAGAGGTATATGCATAAATGACAATATGAGAAGAAGGAATCCTTGTCTTACCGCCCCCGTACGCCCGCTGATCCATGTTGTAAGACGGTAGGCCCTGCTAAGATGCTACAGGGAGAGGGGAAGGTCTTGGTGTTCTTGTTCTTCAGGAGACAACAGCTCGTACCTTCTTAAAGGGGTGAATCTTCGGGCACGACGAACCCGGAAGTGCGCCACTCCCCCTACATGTACGAGACATAAAGCGGTTCAAAGTTCGTATGTCTAATGTCGGCTAAGTGACGGTGGCGAAGTACTAGTGAGGCAGGCTCTGGCTGGAGCTTACCAGATATTGAACTACAGTGCCACGATCTCGTGCCTTCGCCACTGAATATTATGTTAAACAGAGTTTCAGTAGTTTCACACTGGTCTGAAATCATTCTGGTCTGAAAGCTAGCTAGCGCTGAGGTGCTATTGACAAAGCTGAGAAGGTCAGAGGTGACAAACAAATAACGAAAGCGGAAGGTGAACATTGAGACGTGCCTGAACAGCCGGGCACAATGGAGGTGTACGCTGTGTACCTGGTGTGTTTCCTGTGCCTGGTTCCAGCCAGTCTGCAGAAGGCCTGTCATAAGACCCTGCTTGTGTCGTTTGACGGGTGCAGGTGGGATTTCATCAACAGGTGAGTAACGTCTAGTTGGAAGCTACACGTGTACTTGGAAACGTAAACGTCCATCAGGGTGTGGTCAGAGAACTTATGTAATGGAGAAGATTCACTCGAGATGAAAGAGAAGAACCCCTCCCGATTTAATCTGTCTTCCAAGTTAAGATAAGCTCTTACACACAGTTGCAACTTTAGTCGAGGGAACACGTTTTGAGTTGATCAAGGTTGACCTACCGACTTGTAGGACCAACACATGTAAAGTTACCCTTCCGTAGGGCATTAGACTTCCGGTCGTGTGACCTTGACCATGTTTATCTTTATGTGATCATGTCTGCGGCCCTCTGAGAGCAAACCAATCGTTTCTCATGTTATCTGTTGAAGGGGAAACACGCCAACGTTTGACCGACTGGCCCGGGAGGGCGTCAGGGCGCCGTATATCCACGGGACTTTCATCACGAAGACCTTCCCTTCACACTGGAGCGTCATCACAGGTAAGGTGGGAGTTATGTAGGCTCTGTGCCTTTCTATTCTAGGACTGAAATTGGTGATGTTTTCGTCACCAGGTGACGACGCACTTTCTTTCTCGTAGCCTACATATTCACTCACACAAGCGCACGCACACTCACATAAACAAGTGATCGCCGGCAAGCTAATACCTGAGCTCTAAGTACAATGTAATGATCTTCCCACGTGTTATTTCATACGTTCCGCTGTTCCCACCCAGGGCTTTGGGAGGAGTCCCACGGCATCACTGCTAACTCCATGTACGACTCTGTACTCAACCAAACATTTGTGTTGGTAAGTTCAACAATGATCTGATCACGTACGTGCTTTTCTCATGGAAACCAAGGCATTACAAACCGCTATACTAAATTAAGAATCAAAGAGTGAGCTGTTAAGTGTACATTATGGCCTCATTAGTATAGTTGTTGAGACATGCTACAACCGTCTTTCGAACTTCTGATATTTTTGTGCGATCGGCGCTTAACACTGGCCTCGTGGAGATTTTTGTCCTCTCGCAGACCGCCACGGTTAACTGTTAAAATTTCTGCTGCACAGCGCACCAAAGACCCGGTGTGGTGGGATGTGGGGTCCATGCCGGTGTGGCAGACGGCGCAGAGTCAGGGTCTGAAGGCGGCCGACCTGTTCTGGCCGGGAGGGGACGTACGTATGAACGGGCAGCACGTCAACATCTACCGCAAGTACAACCAGAGCATGCCGTTTACGGTAAGGCGAGACGGAGGGATCCCCGAACGAGCTCTCACCCAAATAACTAGTCACCATGAGAGGATGTGTATGTCATAATTGCCATAAAGCCTTTTGAAACTACTACCTGTAAGTCTTTTGACTTTTGTTGGAGAAGGAACACTTTTTTCCATTGTCGACTCATATTTTAGATGTCAGGGTAATATCATGTTATCATGGTATACAGCCAAGCATACATTGTACTATCTATGAATCTATATAATCTAATATCTATGAAGCATAATATTATATCATAAGTACTATGACCCACTGCCCCTCCTCAGGACCGGGTGGACACGGTGGTTGGCTGGTTTGTGAAGGAGAACGTTGATTTCGCCACGCTGTACTTCCACGAGCCTGACACCGCTGCGCATGTCTACGGGCCGGACTCACAGAACGTCACAAGAAAGGTTCGAACTGACTGGGCAGGAACTAGAGGGGCCTGACCATAACGTTTCATTTGTTAAAAACTTTCTGTGTTGTCAAGTCCAAAGAAGTTGAAAGCATTTTCTCTCTATTGATGTCTTCTGATTATTACTGTTTTCTTACCCAGTCAAACATTTTTGTATTGCTGTTTTTATTCTGCGGCTTTTTGTCTGTTTTATGTCGCTACCATTTCTTGACAGCTTAGGACTCAGACTACATGATGCTGGTAGTCACAAAACGTTTTGCAGCAAACCCCAAAAAGTACGTAATTGGCAAAAATTGAAAAGAAACGGCAGTAGAAACGGCATTATCGAAATGTCGACTAGACATTTTATGAATGACGTTCACTTGTTTGCTTCCTGATCACATCTTTATAGTCAAAGTTTATTGCACAACACATCAGATGGCTGAGCTGGATGGCGTACTGCAGTACCTCTTACAAAAGGTAGAGGACGCTGGGTTGTCCGAACAACTGAACATAATCGTGACAGCCGATCACGGTATGGCGGAAATCAGCCGGGACAGGAAGATAGAGATCTACAACTATGTAGACAGGTAAGGTGTTGTACAAGTCATGGCATATTATAGCGTCATATGTTATACCGTTATATGTTATGCCGACGTTTAGCATATTGCGTGGAACGTATATTGATGTTCAATGTCCTGCGTTCCGCTGCGGTAACAATACTGTCAGAGCGCATTTCGCACGAAGTATTGCCCACACGCCTACGCCTACCGACACTAACGTGCTCAGGTTCTTATTTGATGATAGCAAGTGTGTCAGTGACTCAGTGGTGGTCACATTTGAATCAGGTATATTAGATGACAGACGTGTGAAGTTGGATACTAAGTAGATGCTTTTGATCACCATTTTTTAAACGTTTCAGGTCGCTCATAGCTCGGATTCCAGATGCGGGTCCAGTTGCTAACATCCAACCTGTGGACGGCAAACTACAGGAGGTGTACAATATCCTGAAGGTCAGTTTACAGGGCTCCGGCCTTGAGGCGTTGCAAAAAGGAACGAAAAAAAGACGCGCATTAGCATTTTGGCTCACTGATTGTGTCAGGACTGACTGAAACAAAAAAAAAGTTTGAGGACACAATAGAATTATCAATTGTTCTACCTCAATCCACTGTCTTTATTTTATAAAAGTTGTTGATCGCGGCATCTGCCTTTGAGTTTGAAATGTTTATTGATTGCATGAACCCAATTACAGATGGCTGTCCAGGAAACTCTACATACCCAAAGATAAAATACCAGTAGTAGATCTAGAGAACGACGACTGCCATATCTGAGGAAGATAAGAGCGGTCCATATCAGTCTGCATATTCACAGTAAACAGCCTCTAACGTCTGCCCCCCCCCCTCCCGTTAGGACGCCCATCCCAACATGACGGTGTACCTACGTGAGGAGGTCCCAGAGCGCATGCACTACACTCACAACCGCCGCATCATGCCGATAGTGGCCGTGGCGGACGAGGGGTGGGAGGTCATCCCGGTATGCAGTACTCTGCAAGTTTGGAATTTTCTTTGCAAATTATTATGTACAGTACATACTTAGGTAAAGAAATCAATCCACAAACGTCAAACAAAGATGTCGCCTCCTTTCCGGATTTTGATAACACAATCGAATTTCGCACTGTTTCAAGACATGTACCCTTTTCTCCTTCACTAACATAAGCCTATGCCATAGTTACGAGTCACATTGCTCATGTGCACTGTTGCAGTCGGAGTCGGAGGTAACTGACTACAAGTTGAACTTGAAGGGCGCTCACGGGTACGACAACATGCTGATGACGATGAAGCCCATATTCCTGGCAAAGGTGGGCATCTACCCAAGCAAAGGTTTCAGACAACTGCCGTTCACAAATTTGCATTTGACACAACGAAAGGTATCTACTTATTTCCACGAATGTCAAATGTCTTTTCATTTTAACAGAATATGTCTTTCATTTAAGGGGCCTCGCTTCAAACGTGGTTACCAGGCAACACCCTTCTACGCGGTGGACATCTACAACCTGGTCTGTGAGTTGCTGGGCGTTACCCCTGCCCCTAACAACGGGACCTGGGAACGAGTCAGCGATCTCCTGGATCCCATGGCGACTGGTAACGTCACGTGCGGTAGTGTTGGCCTGGCAGTGAGCTGGGCGAGCTTGTTACTGGCTGTAGCCTCTCTTATGTGCTTAACATTCTAACGAAGGTAGTAAGTCGTTTCTCGGAAACTAACTAGAAATAGTGACATCAATCATGAACACAAATACCTATGATTCTAGCTTCCATACTCAGGTCTCAAAGTCATAAAATAGTCCTGTATATGTTACTACAGATATATGTATACATTTTAATACGGTAGTGTGACAACTGGATGAGGAAATCATCACAAATTTCCTAGAGGAGGTTGAACCTTTTTAATTCAAGAAATGCCACATGTCCAGGTAACCGTGCGTATTAAGTATCAAACTCAATAAGTAACACTTTTATGGAGCATGAGAGTAATAATATCAGGCTTTTACCCAGGTACCTTCGTTTTGTGGTAGAAAGTAGTAGTGATTGGCAAGATCGATAATTTGTTATTGGACTTAACAACGAATTATTGACAGAGTAAGAGTTCTTACTCAGAATCAAAGACTTTGCTGTGGATGTTATAGCTTCCTAACGTGGCTGGGTTTGGAGCCATGACGTTGTTTGTTGGGTCTCCACACCAGGATGGACAGAGCGACCCCTGCCGCCAGCCCCGCCACTGCAGCGGCCGCCACTGTCCCCACAGCCGTACTCAGCCGCACTCCGCCGTCTGTCACAAACACACACGGGAGATGGTTAGGGTTCAGATCGGAGACCGTCCTACTACATGTTTTATCATATAGTTTCCAGTAATCCTTTCCTAATCTTTTGTATTGTAGACGCCTATATATGTGTTGAAATATCCTTTATATTTGTGTTTATGTATACGTACTTGAAACCGTTGAAAAAACAAATTTCAATTTTCAGTTTCTATTGATCACTTTTTGTAGTTACTTGTATAGGACCACATGCAAGCTGCGCTGTTCCCCTTTATTATAATCATGCGCCATACTTCTAACCATACGCGAAAATCGATGCGCGCGTGGATGTCATCTATAAAGCTACAAAACAACATGAAGCAAAAATGCTCTACAATAATGTACACGGCATACAGTACTAGTATGAAATCATAAAATAATTATTTTACTAATTTAGCGCGATGTAGTACGTGTAATCTCCTACTGACCACAAGCCTGGGTCGGTGTATTTCCCTCTTGCCGAGTGTCCATTAGGCCGGCATATGGACTGGACAAATGGCTGGTCAACCTTTCCCGGTTGGCAGTCCACACACGTCCTGGTGTTGTCTCATGTCGGCTCTCCACTGAAGCGACCCCTTGCGGAATCGTCTTTGCCTCAGCAGCTACAGAAACGAACACTGCACGAAAAGTTGGATTTACCAATGGTTGTAAACTCGGGTTATGTTGACTATGTACACAGTATCTGGCTGTACAATGGTAGTAAATAAAGGTCAATTGCAGCAATTTCCTTTACAACCGTTAAAAGTCCGATATTATCGTACTTGACTTTTATTTACTGACATTGTAAAGTTCAGAAGTGTTTATTAAGAAATACAAAGTAAACATTACCCAACTATACTGGCCCGGTAAATCTAAGTTTTCGTGCAGTGGAACGTGTTGGCGTGAAGACGAAACTATTTTCTGTGCGATATGTGGCAAAGGTAAACACAGAAGGGGAGCTTCATTGGAAGGACAGTGTAGGGGTTGGCAGCAGGCTGAGGATACTTTCTTCTGATTCTAAATGAGAAAGGGTGTACGTTAGTAACTGAAAACTTGGGATGGTAAGTTATGTAAGAACGGTTGTGATAGGTATGATGTAAATGAGGAGACGGAAGAGTACACCGACACGCGTCCGTGTTTGCCAAAAGAGAGATCAAAAAGGCTTGATGCAGTTAATGCCTGCACCTAAGTTTGTCATTCATATCATGGACTCTGTACACAATTTTGTATGTACAGAGGAAGACGCGGTGTCTTTGGTTATCTCCATAAAGCGGAAGTATGATTTTGTGATGAGAAACTTTTAACATACCTGAACATGAAGCAAATTTCCCCATTTCGAAGATGGGAAAGGAACTAAAACAACGACGCAGATACACACGCAGAGAGCAACTGAACATTCATAAAGTTAAGATGGTCTTAAGTGTGTAAACTGGGGTTATACTATCAGTAATAGAAACATTGCCATGCCGGGAGGCTGTCATCACGTCCGCTGTAAGACCCACACAAACACGCCCCGCCGTGCCTGGTCAAACAGTGTGGCAGGAATGTGACGGGAATAGTATGAAGCTAGCTTGGCGATCGGAGGGATTACGGAGAAGTGTAAATACGCCACAAGGATGAGATGTGTAAAATACACATCTGGTTTTCAAAGACTGCTTTTTTTAGACTCCCAACATAGTGCGGGTTGTTCCTGTTTCGACGACACTGTCACTTCCCGTGAGGATCAATTTAAGTTTGTTTTGACGATCAAAGGCCACATGCTTTCGACTGGGGACGGAATCTCTTCTGAACGTGTTATAAGTTTCGTAACCTTATCAGGTTTGAATCCAGTTGCCAATATTTCACACGTGAAGGTAACCTGGTAACCAGACCGCCGTGAGCTCAGCGCTATCCCTTCGGCACAGAGAGCGTCTGGGCCCGCCAACCAGATGACCTCTGGGTCAAGTGAGGTCAGGGGTCGTATTCCGTGCATCTAATTAATTTCTTTGATCTGTCGCCCAAATAACTACAATTATCTGCACTCACACTCAACGCTTATCAGAAATAACAATGAGGCGAGGTGGGCTTGGTACGTTTAATGTTTTAAAAAACATGAGAATCCACCAAGACCAAGCCCGGAGGGAAGGAGAGAGGCGATGAGGGGGAGAGTGCAGTAACTGTAGTAGAGGGGCGTAGCTAGTAAAATACTACTGGGACTGTACGAAAGTGATACAAAAGTGATACAAAAGCGATACAAAAGCGATATAAAAGTGATACAAAAGTGATACAAAAGTCTGGAAAGCGAGTCCTGTGAGGTTTGTAGGCTGGAAGCGGTGCCCAGGTCTCCTGGCGCAGGTGGCACAGGGAGATGCTGGTCTGACAGTCAATGTACTCAGTCAGGAGGGGCGTGTGAGGACGCGATGTTAGGAAACATGTGAAACGCGAACCAGAGTCGGAGCAATACTAGAGTCTGAGCAAGAATAACGCGGAAACGGCGGTTGAGCCGGGCTGACCGGCGGCTGAGCCGGGCTGGCGCGAGTTCGGCGGTTGAGCCGAGGTGACACGAACCGGGCGGTTGAGTCGAGATGATACTAAGCCTTCGTCTGGACCGGGCTGGTACGAGGTTGGCGGTTGTGAGCGAAGAAACCTAAACCCCCCCGAAGCGCGGTAATTGAGGCCTGGTTGGCGGCAAAAGAAGACCAAGCGTAATACAGGAAGTCAGCGGATACAGGGAAACAGCTGGAGATAGGGCCGTGGTATAACTCGCCTTGGCTAATGGTAAATAGCCTGGGTACCATCCTACTTGTATGCCGGGGCTCCCACACTCGCTTTCCTAAGAAGTACTTCTTAGGGAAGCGAGTGTGGGAGCCCCGGCATACAAGTAGGATGGTACCCAGGCTAAATGGTAAAGGCCGGGGCCGAAAAAATACCGCCAAGCCGACCAAAGGTTTGGTACCCAGGCTAACGTGAAGGGGGAGTTGCTGTTTGGGCCGGTGCGAAAAGCATAGAAATTTAAAAGACATCTAAGAAATGTTCATGTCAATTCGTGTAATTTTGATTCAGAAGTAAAAGTTCCGCCCGGAAATTCCATTCCATGGTAAAGGATTATACACCGAATAACGAGTAGCACGGGCGGTCCTGTCTGGCACAACTCCGACAGTTAAACGGTCGTTCTGCATCGTAAGGATGGAGGCCCAGGACTATCGGGGTTTTCGGGAGGAGACAATTGTCTACAAGCAGATGTGTTAGTATGATTCGGTAGAGTATGTAAAAGACGGTCTAAAAGACGTACGTATACGTAAGGAGCTATAGCAACACATCTGCTTGAATAGAGCGATCGTGGCCGAGTTTCCCTACAAACACATGGACTCAGAGTCAGGCCACGTTCCCAACATCTGTTTCCTTTCCCGAGGACTGGAAGTTCAAAGTCATAACTGTTACCAAGGAACTAGGAAAACACATGAGTAAAGTCAGTTCCGACAAGTAAAGGTCAGGCGCCAAGGAGGGTTGAAAAATAAAAATCAGTGCCCGATACTGTATCATTCTGTCTACTCTTGTATCTCAGTAAAGACAGGCCTTGCAATTTTCCCCAAGTCAGTGGTCCGATATGTTGTCAGCTATTCGTATGGCATTGGCGTTCTCGACAGCGGAACACGATATGGTATATGCTAGAATCCAAAAGAACGCACAAGTTCCCCACAAGTAACGGCGAAACAGGAACAACCCGTCCCCGCACCTCTCCTGAACTCTTGCAGGAGAGTCTGTTTGCTGGTATCTAGATTCTGTATATAATTCTATAGGTGAATCTTAGTTTACATCTTAGTATGATAGACTAAAAGCAATCATACCTGGAGTAAGAATCACGGCAAGAACCAGGAAAGCCAGTGTAGCTGATTTCTGCGGTCCCATCTCCTTCCCCTTTTCCTTTCCAAACACGTGACTAGATCCGGACCAAAACATGTTTGCAAAGGGGCTACTATGAATAGTGCCCCGCTGTCACACGGACATCAGACTGGGGGCTTCACAAGAAGCTAATGAATGACCTGACTGACACATAGGGTGTGATTTAGACACGAACATTACAGACAGAAAAGGCCATGTCGCTTCATGGGTAGCCCTTAGCCCTCGTCACAAATCTTGCTTGCATGGCCCAATAATCATAAATTCTATATTAGCTTCTTTCCGGGGTCACTTTCATCGTTTCATTCTCAACTTTTCTTGGCATACTAGACCCTCCCCATTTCCTAAATGGACGAACCCTTTGGAAAGGGTTTTCTGGTTCAGTTCGTGCACGGCGGAAGGGCCAAAAGTGCAACAATCTGCATACTTCAGATGTGAGCCGTAACCTTGGTACCGAGGCATGCAGGAATGTGCAGGGAACACCCGCCATGTATCATCTACGTCCTTCTCAGACTGTACCAGACTCCTTAGCAGCAGGCAATAACCCGTCCGTACTGATTGACAATAACCAAATTTGGACTCTACGCACGTTTTCAGTGATTACTAGTACTGGAAACGCACGACTTCAGCAGGAATATATATACTATTACGTACGTATATCTGAAATTGAATGAAATGTCAGGGTTGTTAAGGTATTTTGTTCTTATATTCATTCTGTACAGCGGGTGGATACCTGTGGAAAGTCGCATGGTGTGCTTCATTTTGTCCCGCGTTAAAATATTTCAGGAATCCCGCCAGACCGTACCTGCCTTATTGGAATTCCGTCCACGAGGATACACTGTCCGTGTGCTTCATAAGGCATCGCATATTCTGAGTGGACTTGAATTACGTTTTCTACCCCCCCCCCCTTAGGGTTTGATAGCATGCTGCGTTATGCTGTGTTCCAAAGGATTTAGAATTTTTTTATATTTAAAAGTCAACCTGCCATTGTGTTCGCCTATGGACATACAATTACACTGCCTTCATTTCGCAACAATTTCTTTCCTCCTTCCAAATCCAGAAAATAGCCTTTCCTTGCCGATATGAAATACAATGTAATGCAACCCCCTTCTAAAGTTTAGAAATGAACTACCTGGAAGGTACGACACAGACACACACACAAACATCACCCGGACACCGCCGCAGTGGTTTCTGGGATATTGTTTATTGATTCCTTCTCCAGTAGTATTGATGTACAAACGCTACCTCCGAGCGCGGATCCGCGTCACACAAAATGTTCGCTAGACTTCACATCAGGGGACTGGTCATGATATCGATATGTAACGCTCACAAAAGCCTAATTGTTTCTCTCTTCATGACCCTATCATCCTAATTATAAACACGACGCACGCCCGTGTCATCTGTACTATGTAGATACGACTTTTCCAGTAAAACGGTATGTATGATTTTTTTTCTTTCCCATTCCTACACATTTAAATCTACTTTGACGTATCCGAAACTTGCAACTTCCATGACGAGCTCGTAGCCAGAGTCGTTGCACGTCGATATCACATTCTGGCCCCTGAATGTATTGCCCCCGTGGTGTTTCTATGTACAAATGTTTATGTATACGCAGGACAAGCCCTCCGGTATGGGTCTTGATACGATAATATATACATGCCGACATACATGTACATATAGGTCTTCCTTCCTTACAGGAATGATATGCATTAATACAAGTGCAGAGTTGCAGTAGGTATCGTACAGACGTGAAGAGATTCCTAGTCTTCATATATTTGCATAAGTTGTTCTTTTTTGTTGCGGCGCGCCGACTGTTGCAGGATTCACGATTTCCTGAAGGTTTTGATTGGCAGACCGGTGAGCCGACTGAGGAGACAGCGGACAGCGGTTGCTACTGGTTACGGTGAAGATCACTCACAGAATCTTTGCCACGTTAAGGAGAGTCCAAAAATAGTGTCCCCGCATATGCTCTGTACATACATACATCTCAGCACGCTACGGTCGACATAGGTCGGCAGCAGAACTGAGGGTTTCCTATAAAAGATGCATCCCGTTGGAGGAGATGGTCAATCATGCAACAATCGGCGTTCCGCGGGGACGTAAAAACGCACTGGCGTGTTCGGCGAAGCGTATCTAAAAACCCTGCATGCCCGTGTTAAGAGTGAGCCCCCCGGGAGGTAACCAGCTGCTTGTAGGAGCTGACCGAATGAAGGTTTATTAGCTTCGCAAATAACGGCAGAATCGAATTCTCCTGGCGGCCGGCGCGGGCCGGTAATTAATATGGTGGTACCGCGGGATATCCTGAGCCATTTCTCTGGCTAATAAAGTGATGTGTCAGACAGATGGGACTCTGTGTTTTTCCCGGCGCTATACGCCATTAGGCTGATTTAGTGTCTTCTGTTTTAAGTTAAAATGGACATTGTGATAGACGACATATTTCACGCCAGAAAAACCAGACAGAAATATCTTCATCAAGTCAGACAGTTGGGGTACTATCAGTTTTTTGAATGCTGAATATGTCATTCAAGTACTGGTAGTATTGCATCTATAAAACTATCGTTATTATCGAAGGAACTGTTACCGTTTGATATCGGTTGATATCTGTCTATTGTGGTATATTAGATAATTAGATGCTTAAAGTCATCATAATCATTCACATACAGCACTATCTCCAAACGCAATCTTTTTGCCGGGGTAAATTTGTGATGGAATGTACATTGTACATAATGGTCCATAATTCATTTGGATTGCCAGCGGCTATAAACTGAATATAATCTATGTGCTGCAGACACAAACGACGTTAGTATTGCCTGAGGAAGATACTGATATTAGAGAGAGATGCCAATAAAAATGAGTAGAGAAATTACGCCCTGTGTTGTTGACGGACATATTTCAGCACCAGGGACAGGCCTTGTTGATATTTGTTATTGCTTGCCTACATTGGAATAAAGGTTACAATGCTGATATGAAATAACAAACTATTTTTTTATAGCTAAAGCAATATTTTCCAACAGCGAAATGATAATTTGTATGATAATCGAAAGAAATACGTGGGTTTAAAGTAGGCTGCTCTTAACAAATAGTAAACGGCGGCACTATAGACCAATCTGTGATAACGGTACATAGCATAGCACCACTTGTGCCATTTTTCACGTTTTGAGAGCGGGTCGGGAAAAATAACGTTATTTCAAGGCTTGTGAGTGTGAGTCGACTGTAGATGAGCTATCGAATTAGCAATTTCGGTCTGAGCGAACCATTGTTATTGGCTATAACTATGGAGTGTTATTGGCGTTAGAGTTGATGGGTTGGATATTTCAAAGCAAGCATGGGGAAAAGAAAGAATGTTTTTAGAAAGCTTGATTAGTTCATTAGTTCAAGGAGAATTTTCTAACACCATGGAGAATTTTTTCAGGTGGATTTCCAGTATCTTGTGACAAAGTCAATCACTTTGCAGAGATAAACATTTTCGAGTCTTATTCTTCGCGAACTGCTGTAATTTTTCAAGACCCCCATACAACAAGTATGAGTGAGCTCTACAAGCTGCAGCTGATTACCTCCCATTGATAACAACATAGTGTTAAACAGTGTTAAATTTAAGGTCTCGTTACGACTATCATCATCAACGGAACGCAGCAGTGACCAAATGTCTGAATACTCTACAGGCGGCATCGAACGGTCTAGATAGGGGAGGGGGTAACAACGTTATAACGATCTTAGTCTTCATTGAAAGTTCCTCGTATAGTGCATGTTACCCATAAGTTGGACAATTGGTTAACAACATTCGCCAGGCGTCCTTGATACTTCATTGAAAGAAGAAAATAAGAAGGAGTTCCTTAGTATTTCAGGTCTTGCCACATACGTAGAAGCGTATAAAACAGGTCCACAGGTATAAAAGTGATCGGCAATCTGACGAGGACACATATACACCCTTCCTATCATGGGTTCGTCCGGCCCTCCTCTGGCAAATGACTGAAGACGGGGAACACTGGCTGCGCCATAGCACCTGTTCTGCAGCAAATGTCATCTAAACTACCCGGGGCATGGAGGCCAACCGTTATACGTGCCTGGCTGAACAGAGTCGTTCCAGCCACTTTAAAGAAATTTCCTTTGTATAACTGGATAGAATAATTCTGTACTTTCATTGTACATTTGCATCAGAGATTGTTCAGGACACGTCTCCCCATTGACTAATATGCTACTGTAGAATACTTGGGGAGGGGCTTCGCTGTGATGACTGTCAGCTCGGACACGATTCAGGTAAGAATTCTAGAGTGATTGAGAGAAGAATGAAGAGGACCCAAAAGAGCGAACGCCCCTTTTGACAAATGAAAATCGATAAATTGAATCTATAAGAATATGACAAAGAACTGTTCAGTAAAACCTGATAGATCTCTTGTCAGGCGCTACAGAGCCCATAGGCTGTTCTACCAGCAAGGTGCTTATTGGCCTATCCCATGCAGTTCAACAACACAACACAAAACAATAGCTTTTACAAACGCCTTGCATTGGACATAACACTTTTAGACGCAAGTTTCCTGAGAAATTAGTGACGTCACCACATGCATAACTTATTTACAGCACCATGGAAGTATCATGCCTGTTGCACGTGACTGTCATGCCTACTGCACGTGCTTGAAAAAAAAACAATCGTGGAAGACGCCAAACTTCTCCAGCGTGTACCCCTACATGCAACGTTGTTACTTTGTTTTTCTCACAATGTTTAGATGCATTTTGACATATTCATCTATCATTTGGGGCCAAACATCACAGTCGCTTTATGTAACAAAAACGGGTGACTAATTATCTATCAGGTTAACAAAAAGGATCGTTACCCTTTCCACAATGATTTAAAAATTTTCGGTACCAAAAGTTTCGTACAATACTTTGAAATCAGTCTCGTTGCTTTGATTGACAGTTCAACAGAGGGTTGACAGGGGGTGGCAGATTTCATTCTGGTTACTTTACAGGGAAGACCACAAGTAGGAAAACTAACGGTGGGGGTGGGTTCTACCTACAGAAACAGTGGTACATGCCGTATTTTTCCACTGGGCTTGGGTTGGAACCGCTCGGCTACAGGAAACTTGCACCACATACATACCGGTTCGTGGTCCTGGTCGGGATGGCGCTCTCACCTACGCGCGGCGGGTGTTTCTTTGATCCCGTGTGCATGGACGTTGGCATGTAGGTTAACTTGTCCGTGTAGAATGTTTACACAGGGCAACTTCTCACATGGAGGAGTTCACTCCTTGGGTAGTCGGGTGCCGTCCACTGTATCCATAGTTAGCTTCTCCTTCCTTACCATGACGCGAGCTTTGATTCTCCACTATATGATTCTTCATAGAAATGATATGTATGTAAATCGTACATTATTTGCATATTTGATACAATGAAATAGTTTTGAAGCAGATAGTTTTCATCTAGTCTGTTCTATATCAATATCTTCTAAATAGGCTGGTACGAGTAAGATCTGGTATCTCTATATCTTTACTCCTATCTCTACTGGGTTCACCCATACCTATTCACAAAGGGGCTGGTCTGTGTACAAGATGGAGCTGGATAGAAAAAAGCGCGCTGCACTGCGTAGAAACGGCAAGCAACACAAGACTGGTACTCAGCATCCGTGTCGTATCGTTATCTTAGGTGTGCCCGCTTGGAGCTAGTCTTTGACTTTTGTAAACCTCTCTGTGTCGAACCTCGGAATTTCCCTTCAGAAGTCCTTTCTCACTTTTGGGGAAGTGTCCGGTCAAGTTTTCTTCGTATTTTTTCCACCATAGCACGATGTGTGTCTGCAAGCGAGACCCGATTATTGCTTGACGTCATGACACTCGTTCCCAGTGTAATTTCCCCCGCGCTCCCGTTCCCATGGCGCGAGGAGCCTTCTTGGCACTTGGCGGTGGGGTATTCTCACGGTAGTTAAGTTTGTTTTTGCATATGTTGAGGTAATATGTACATCACATAGTTAAGCTTGCATATGGTGCCAAATACTTTCCCGTGCTCTAGTACATGAATATCTTTATATCGTTTGTCCCCGTGTCCGTTAGGACGAGAAATCCGTCCGGGGTTACAGCAACTGCTTCCGGGTGTAAGAGGCCATCCTCCACGGAAGCGATGTGGCGGAGAAACTTCAGGTCATTCTGGAAGAGCTCGACGCGCTTGTTTCCGTAGTCGGACACGATGATGTTGTCCTTGCTGTCCACGCACACGCCCGCGGGGTAGTCGAAGTGGCCGTCTCCGGTGCCAAGCGAGCCCAGCTTGTTCAGAAACTTCCCGTCTTGGTCGAAGATCTTGATGCAGTGGTTGCGCGTGTCCGACACGATGATGTGACTCTTGCTGTTGACCGTGACGTAAGAAGGAGCCTTGAACTCGTCGTCGGCGGAGCCCTTGGTGCCGAACTGGTGGATCTGAGTGCCGTCCGGCTCGAAGATGCAGACGCTGTGGTTAATGGCGTCGGTAACGATGATGCGGCCCAGCTTGTCCACCGCGATGCCGGAGTAACAGCTCGTCACCGGGGGTTTGAACTCGTTGATGACCGAGCCGTCCTGCGCACACAGCCGGATATTGCCCTCGGAATCGGTCACCGCAAGGTTTCCGTCGTGCATGACGGCGACTTTGGAGTAGGACCCCGCCGGGAACTTGCTCTTCATTCGCCCCTCCGTGTCGAAGATCTGGATCCGCCTGTTGTTGCGGTCTCCGACCACCACGTGCCCCTCGGCGGTCACCGCTACCCTGTAGGGCCCGTTAAACTCGCCGTCCCCACTGCCCCTGCGGCCGAACTGGTGCAACAGTCGCGCGCTTTTGCTCTGGCCCGGCCCCGGCTTCAAGCAGTACTTGTAGTAGGGGATGGCGCTGGTCGGAACCTGGTTCTTGATGTAGCCCACCTTCATCAAGATGCTCCGGGTGTCCCCAGGCGTGCTTATGAAGACTAAGTGGTTGGAGGAGAGTCTGTCTGACATCTTGCGCTCGGGTTCTCGCTGAGATAACCTGTATAACCGATCCGCCATCTCCTTTTTGACAGACAGAACTTCCTCGTTGTTCCCGTACTTGAGAACTTTTTCTGTAAAGTTAACGCTACTTTTTAAACTGTTCAGACTCTTCTCTAAAAAACTTTCTTCGGTGGCGAGGTCCTTTTGCTCTCTGGAATACATGAAGTGCAGCTCCGACAACAGACTTTGCTCCTGTTGCTGAATCAGCGCGATCAGCTCCTTCGCTCTCTGCTTGATGTCGATTTCTACTCTATCTCTCTCCGACTTCTTCATCTCCTGCACTTGGTGCACCTCTGCAAGCGCGAACTCAAACTCGGGGATTTTTTGCCTGGTAGATTTCAGGAGACCCTCCAATAGGAGTCGGCTCTTGCCCACTACGTCTTTAATGTCGGCGTGTTTATGATCTTTGTGTTCAACCACCACGCAGTCTCGGCAGACGGGGTTATCGCACGATTCGCAGTAAAAACGCACCACCTCGCCCTGGTGCATGTCGCAGTACACCTCCTGTTTGGAGCGAAGCTGCTCCTCGAATCTGCCCGACTGCAGGTCTTCCAGAGTGACCACGTGATGCCCACGCGTGAATCTCGTGCGACAGTGAGAGGTTGCGCAGTCCGGGCACAGGAAGTCCGCGCATTCCAAGCACCGTGACGTCGCCTCCGCGTCTTCGTCAGAGCAGATTGCACACGACACCTTTTTCTCCTTGACCCTCCCGCGTTGCATAGACAGAGTGTCGCACAGATTGGAAATAAAGAAGTTATCCTTCAGCCTGGCCACGCCCCTCTCGGTCAGACACGTCTCCTGGCCGCACGTCGGGCACTCGAACTTGTGCGAGCGGTCGGCCACGTACCTCACCAGGCACCTCTCGCAGAAGAAGTGTAGGCAGGGCAGCAGCTTGGGCTTGGAGTACTCCTCGAAGCAGATCTGGCAGATGAGGAAGTCCTCGCTGACGCTGCTTAACAGGTCCGCCCGGGTCTGCCCTTGCTTCTCCGCTTGGCCTGGACAAACACACAAGAAGAGACCTTGTTACCAAACATGCCTGCACCAAGCTATAACCAAGGTTTAAAAAGTACACCTTCTTGCTGTAACTCGGATGGTTTTTTTTTCATTATCACGAGTACTTTTTGGCGACATGACAAAGTTTTAGGTTTGTCCAGGTCAGTTAATCTGAGGCAGTTGGTCCTAAGTACACTAACGTATAGGGGACAACAAGCAAACAAATAGACAATCACATTGAAACATTTGTTTTTCTCAGTTTGAGAGTCGACGGCTGTCCCATCACACATGACCTTCGGTAGGGACGTTCCCTATAATTAATATAGTTTCCCTTTGATAATTGCCAGGAGAGTAATTGATTACAAAACTGTGTCAGTAAAGTCCGTTCGCTTTAAAATTAACCATGTTCATCCACGTTACCCATATGCTTTCAGATTTTTAAAACTGTAGTTCTAGAAAATAACCGTAATATTTGCAGAAACAAAACGATGTTATCAACTGTTTTAATACAAGACACGCGCAGGGTGGGTGTAAGGGGGTGGTATGTGGAGGAATCGGTTTAGTAACTGAAGTTATACCATAAGATTCCCCCGCCCCACCCCTAAAACACTTCCTGGAGGTCTGTGGAATTAGATGTCATGAAAACACAAAATACTTCCCAAAGTCTGAAATCACCAATTTCTTGTTTTATCTGAAAACAAGCGAACCAGTAAGACCCCCTTTAATGCACCGAGAAGACGTTTAGTATTGGTTAGCGCTAAATGACAGATCATCCTCTCCCGATGATGTCCTACTCATTACAACTCGCCTGCACTTATCCAGCTTAATGATGACAGAGCGAGGCGCTACCAAATTGATATTTTAGAGCGTCTTTTATCTGCACCAGACGAAAGCCGGGAAATTCTGCACTCATGTATGTTAATTTTCCCTTCATCCCAAGGGAGAAAAAAACGTTTCCGGATAGGCCGTATTCGTCATAAATAATCTTCTGTTTGCCGCCATCTGTTATGGATTTTAGAATTGATTTATATTGCCAGATTGATTGCAGTGGTTCGGTGTACGGGACAGTTGGTTACCGTATTCTCCAGGCCTACTTACGGAAGATCGTTAGCCAGGATTAGTTTTGTAAAGTGTTATGATATATCAGCGCAAATATAGTGCTCTAAAAGATGGTGTGTTTGAATTCAGATCTGACTAGCGGATCTAGAAGATAAGGAAAGGCTGGGTAATTGGGGTGGACTTTAAACAGACGGTAATAGATAGGTATGGTACGTCCTTTATTCCTGTTGAGGGTTTGGCAATCTTAACAAAGGCCGGAAGGATTGCAAGTCCCATCAGTAGCGTGCAAATCGTGAAGTAGACCGGGAGACATTCCAACCTGAAGAGGGGCTGCCGGTCACCATCTCCCTGCACGCACCATTGCCTGTCACTATTGATTTTAAGCTTATGTAAATCATGTCATAACATTGTGTATGCGGGTCCAAGGCTTGAGATGGTCCCAGCTCGTTCCGTGTAAATACACCGCGGCCTCATCTCTACTCCGTCTGGAAATGCAGGTGTTTGATGTCAAGTTAGGCACTTGGAGGAAGGCCACTTCCGTGCATGGACTTCACTGAGTTGAACGCTAGTTGTGATTATGTGGACGTGAGTGGTTTGGCTGATTGCCGCAGGCCTTGCAGGATGTCCCTAGTTTCCCCCTACATATTATCATAATACTCTAGATCCCTCCGGTGAAGAGCCCCATGTAGAACTGTATTGTCAGCAAGGCTGTTTACGACTGAGACCCTCGAGACCCGACAACCTACAGCGGTTCAGTACAATAGACATTTTATTACTTATTATCTTAACCCACATGCCAGTTATCGATGCTGTTACTCCTAGTATACGGTGTATTTGGTGGGTTCTTTCTCCGGCTTTTTATTTCAAATCTATAACAGCGGAATGTGCCAATATGGCGATACGTCTCGACAGGTCTGAAATGGGCACCGTCTTCCATTAGATCCTATCCAAGCGCGTCGATATGTGTATAATCTTCGATAGATGACCTTATATGCTTCCTTTTGAGCCAATTTCGACATCGTTTCTTTAGGCAATATTGAGAGTGAATAGTTTTTGTGTGACATATGATCTCCAGCTCAACTAGATTACCAAAGTCGCGAACCCTTTTTGTGACGAGACACTCGTTGCCACCGTTTTGAGATGAAAGATGCTCCGGGGTGCCCGGGGAATAATTTGTAGAAAGGTGCCATCGTTTGTAAATATGATATCCTTTCTTAGTACAAGGTAAGAAATTACGATCTAGTTGCGGAGCGCTTAAATTTGTAGTTCCCTTCATATCCTTCTGACAGAATATCTAAAAAGAAAAGAAGGGTGTCGAGAATACTCGTCTAAATCAAAAGATGGATAGGCCTGAATATACACGAGGCATTCACATATTTATATTATTAACGTGCAAACCGGGATCTATACCGCAATTCTAAAGCTTCCAGTCATATCTTATAACTAGTGATCAAACGTTTTCAGAACGATTACCAAGATGCGGATGTGCAATAACGCATTTTTAACCATGCCCAATGCCATAAAGGAAGATTGAGTCATAAACCAAGAATGGGTTATCAAGGGAGATAGTGTGATAAAGCAAATAATATGTCCCATTCTCCCCCAAATGGCATAATGTTATGGGTGTACAGTAGAAGGGGGCACTTCAAATTCCGAGGACTCATGTATGCATAAACGTAGTTCTCCGACATTCACGAAAATGCTGGCAGAATGCTGTCCTCGATATCCAGGGTGTGTCTGGGTGAGTCACACTGTAAATCGTAATGGAGTTAAGGTAAAACCATTACCAAATAAGCTATCAAGTACTATATTGAGTTGACCTTTTGGGAGCGTTCCAAGTCAAGTCCGGTCCGGCCCCGGATTTCAGGACTAGCTGGGTGCAGCTGCGTGGTGATCTGTGTGACAGATATGCATGAGCCGTCTGCAGCAGGGGTAATGGGGAAAGCTGAGCCGGTGACGTAGTCCCTTTAGAAAAGACTCCGATCGATGATCTGGTTCCAATGATCTGCTAGAATTGAGCGACCCGAGAAACATGAATCGAGCGGGGACGCGGAGAGGGGTGTGGTTCAACGATTCCTCTGGTCCAGGGCAAAAGGTGATTCGGTAACGTCTTTATTTGGTGATCTCTCGCTGTAGCACATCGATAGACTACCTAATCATCTGACATACGATTTCAGAATTGTAGAAACAAAACTATAAAAGCAAACACAGTCTGCTCAGACCGACACCAATAACTGATTGGAAAGAAATATCTGTGTATGCTTCTAGACAATCGATGCTCAAAAACATTTACCATTAGCCAAACAATGATTCTGGGGTTTTCATTTCGAGTGCAGGTTTACAAAGATGACGGAAGGATACAGTAGCTTATTTTTCTAACACGACATGAAGTTTCTTTTTGGCGATTTAGTACCTTCATACATCACACAGTGTCAGCACTGGATCAACGTTCGTCTATATCGAGTTGCGCATGCCTAGGTTTTCTACGCTTTGGGCTGCGGATGAGCAGACAGTTTAAGATAAGAGTCGAAGAGTCGATGGAAGTCCTGCATCACATCAACAAACCGTTTCACTGTCTAGATCTTGTTCCAAGTTGTTTCAAAGTCACCAAAGAAGTGAATACAAAGTGGGTAGTAGCGATTGTTTTAGACATGTGGAGCTACCATAACAACAAAAGTGTTCCCCAATTCTTCCTCTCAGATTTGTCCGCCAATTAAGTACTTTCCTGTGTAATTGTGGTTTTCATTTTCTGCTGGCCGATTGCTTACAGCGAACTATAAATGAATAATAAAGCGGAGCTAGATGGGCTATCTTGAGGAGGAGGCCATTGCTCGTAATTTGCTGATGCCTGAACCGGAAGCCCCACTATTTCCGGGAGTTTCCCCTGCCATTTCCGGTATTCAAAACCGTTTTCGGTAATCTCGTCCGAGAAGAAGCAATTTTGCGGCGAATGGGAGATTTCTTCTTTAAGATGCGAGTGGATAAATGTTAACACTGGCAACGTTGGGAGGCTTTTTAAACGGGTCTTTATTTAAGTCTAGTTCTTTGGGAGAAGACGCGCTTTTGTCTAGTCTTAGATTTAGTGGGATTTACCTACTGTGCATGTGTGGGCATCATGGGGGCATTCCGTCTTGAATCAGATGTACTATTCTTACGAAACAAAGACAGCACGGTAAGTTATCATTGTGAGCTCGAAATCACTTCTGGTCCATTTATTTCACAAGTCTACTTGACGATGAAAGACAGCGTTAGTTTCACTTTACAAATGTGAACGGACATGCAAAGTGTGAACCAATGTTTTTACGCTAGAATGCTTCCGTTTTGAGAATCCTCTTTGAATTATAGATGGAAGTCAAGGACGTAAACAGACAATGGACTATATTTTTGTAGGAAATTTATTGCTAACACATTGATATTGGTGTAAAAGAATGTGATGATTAAGCTACCCCATACCGTCACGTAATTTCAATTAACCACTGAGAGACATGAACGTTCTGGGGGTAATAAAAGGCGATTTATGGATTTATGGCCAAATCCAGGTGATTTCTTCCGACCGATTAATCACATCCACGGACGTGCCGACTGGTTCTTTCTTCCTCTGCGTGCACAAAACGGCTGGTAATGAATTCTTAAGCACCCAGTCCCGTATGTTTACAGTGAAGTGTTTTGTTCAGATCTCGTCCATAGGGGCTGACGTCACGCGATCTCCAAATGACGGTCCGAGGCGTGAGGGTGTCGTTGGGTCCCTATCAAATACCGGAAAGACTTTTACAGAAAGGGAAAAGGGTCTGCAAAGTATTCCGTGTCCAGTCCAGTCGCATGTCAGACAACAGGATTATGGCGCATCCCCTTTCCCGAAAAAATGCGAGATAGTTCTCAGTGATTTTTAACGACATAGGGTTTTGGCATGCCCCTTCGAGACCCCCAAATTTTACTTCAGCCC